TTACAAAGTTTCAAGGCTTAAATATAGTCTTTAAACATTTTGAGATGGATTCTTGTACATGGTAAGAAGTGTCTAATTTCATTCTCATGCATGCAGATATCCAATTTTCCTGGCACAATTTATTAAAAACATTATCCTGTTTGCAGTACATGTTCATTGAACCTTTGTCAAAGATGGGTTTGCAGTAGATGTGTAGCTTTAATTCTGGGATCTCTGTTCTGTTTCATTAGCCTATGGATCTGTTTTTAATGCCAATATCATGCTGTTTTAATTACTGTTATCTTTATGATATATCTTAAAGCCAGGTAATAAAATGCTTCCTGTTTCTTCCTGGTTTTTTTTGTTTGTTTGTTTGTTTGTTTTTTAACTCAAGATCATGTATGGCTACTTGGAATCTTTTGTAGTTCCATAGAAATTTTAGTGGTGTTTTTCAAGTTCTGTGGAAAACGTCATTGGGATTTTGATAGAGATTGCATTGAATCTATAAATCACTTTGATTGATATGCACATTTTTAAATTGTTGGGGCTTCCAATCTATGGACACATAATGTATTTCCATTTCTTTGTGTCCTCTTCAGTTTATAGTTTTCTTTGTAGATATATTTCTCTTCTTTGGTTGAATTTTTTTTTTTTTTTTGACAGACAGAGTGGACAGTGAGAGAGAGAGACAGAGAGAAAGGTCTTTCTTTGCCGTTGGTTCACCCTCCAATGGCCGCTGCGGCCAGCGCACCGCACTGATCCGATGGCAGGAGCCAGGTGCTTCTCCTGATCTCCCATGGGGTGCAGGGCCCAAGGACTTAGGCCATCCTCCACTGCACTCCCTGGCCACAGCAGAGAGCTGGCCTGGAAGAGGGGCAACCGGGACAGAATCCGGCGCCCCATCCAGGACTAGAACCCGGTCGGTGTGCCAGCGCCACAAGGCGGAGGATTAGCCTATTGAGCCGCGGCGCCGGCCCTTTGGTTGAATTTTAATCTTAGATATTTTTAAAAATCTTTCTCAATTTATTGGATTGGTTTCTTGATTTCATTTTCAGGTGATTTATTATTTGTGTGTAAAAATGCTATTTTTTTATATATTGACTTTGTACTCTGCAACTTTGATCAGTTTGTTTATTTGTTCTAACATCTTTTTGATGTAGTCTTTGGGATTTTTCTATATATAGGGTAATGTCATCTGCAAACTGACAATTTGACTTCCTTCCTTCTAGTTTGAATGGCCTTTATTTCTTCCTCTTGCCTAATTCCTCTTGCTAGGTCTTCTAGTACAATTTTGAATAAAAGTACAGTAGGTATCTTTCTTTTGTTCCATATCTTAGAAAAGAAAGCCTTCAGCTTTTACCATCAATATGATGATAGTTGTTCACTTGCTATAAATGGTCTTTATTATGTTGTGGTATGTTCCTTCTATAACTAATTTGGTCAGAGTTTTTTTTTTAACCATAAAGGAATGTTGAGTTTTATCAATTGCCTTTTCTGTATCTATTGAGCTAATCATATGATTTTTGTCATTCATTCTGCTTCTATGATATATCACATTTATTGATTTGCATATGTTGAATCATCCTTGCATGGAGAATAATTTTTTAATGTGTAAATGTATTAATTTGCTAGTTTTTTATTGAATATATTTGCCTGTGTAGTCATCAGGGATATTGGGCTGTAGCTTTCTTTTCTTGTGTCTTTCTCTCATTCTGATATGAAGGTAATGCTGGCCTTATAGAAGGAGTTTGGAGTAATTCTTTTCCCTTCTATTTTTTGGAATCATTTAAGAAGAAAAATTGATGTTAATTGTTAGTTCTTTAAATGTTTTGTACAATTCAATAGTGAAACCATCTGTTCCTAGTTTTGTTTGTTTTGGTTGGAGATTTTAATTGCAGAGTCAATCTTGCTCCTTGTTTGTTGGTTTTTTAGATATCATATTTCATAATGATTCAGCCATGGTAAAGTATATGTGCCCAGCAGAGCTTCCATTTCTTCTAGGTTATAAAGCTTGTTGCCATATAATTGTTTATAGTAACTGCTAATCTTTTGTATATGTTTGATGTCACTTGCAATGTTTCTCTTTCCATTTTTGATTTCATGAATTTTATGAATTTGAATCTTCTTTTTTCTTAGTCTACTAAGAATTTGTCAATTTTATCTGTTACCTTTTTTATTTCATTTTTATATAGTTTTTTCTTAGTTTCTATGTCATTTGTGCTGCTTTCTTTTCCTTCTAATAATTTTTAATTTAATTTGTTCTTATTTATCTAATTCCTTTGATAGAGCCATAAATTCTTTGAGACTGTTCTACTTTTTTTAATGTAAATTTTATTATTATTATTATTTGACAGGTAGAGTTATAGATAGTGAAAGAGAGACAGAGAGAAAGGTCTTCCTTACGTTGGTTCACTCCCCAAATCGCCGCTATGGCCCGGAGCCAGGTGCTTCTTCCTGGTCTCCCTTGGGAGTGCAGGCGCCCAAGCACTTGGGCCATCCTCCACTGCCCTCCTGGGCCACAGCAAAGAGCTGGACTGGAAGAGGAGCAACTGGGACTAGAACCCGGCGCCAATATGGGATGCCCGCTATAAACTTGCCTTAGTACTGCTTTTGCTTTATGCCATTGGTTTTGTTATGTTATATTTTCATTTGCATTCATTTCAAGCAATTTAATAAATTGGTTGCTTAGTAATAAGTTTAATTTCTGTATGTATATATAGTTTTCAAAGTTTTTCTTGTTATGGATTTCTAGTTTTCTTGCATTATAGCAAACAAGGATACTTTGTATGATTTCTTTTTTTTTTTTTTTTTCTAATTTGTTAAGGTTTGTTTTGTGACCTGCCACAGGATCTATTCTGGAGGATGTTTCATGTGCTTTGGAAAAGATTATATATTCTGTAGCTGTTGGACAGAAAGTTCTGTAAGGTCCAAATGACCTAGGGTACAATTATACTCGTCATTTGTTGATTTTCTGATTTTCTGCCTGGAGGATCTGTCCAGATCTAAAAGTGGGATGTTTAAGGACCCTACTATTAATGTTGGAGTCTGTCTCTCTATTTAGTATTTTTTTTTTTTTTTTTTGGACAGGCAGAGTTAAACAGTGAGAGAGAAAGAGAGAGAGAGAGAGAGAAAGGTCTTCCTTTTCCGTTGGTTCACCCCCCCAAATGGCTGCTACGGCCGGCGCTGCGCTGATCCGAAGCCAGGAGTCAAGTGCTTCCTCCTGGTCTCCCTTGCAGGTGCAGGGCCCAAGCATTTGGGCCATCCTGCACTGCTTTCCCAGGCCGCAGCAGAGAGCTGGACTGGAAGAGAAGCAACCAGGACAGAACCCAGTGCCCCAACCGGGACTAGAACCCGGGGTACCGGCGCCACAGGTAGAGAATTAGCCAAGTGAGCCGCGGCTCCGGCCTCTCCAGTTAGTATTATTATTATTTGCTTTATGTAGTTAGGTACTCCAATATTGAATACATATACATTCACAATTGTTATGTCCTCTTGCTAGATTGAACAGATTGTATAACAACCTTGCTTGTGTCTTTTTAATGCTTTAGATTTAAAATCTATTTTATCCTATATAAGTAGGGCTGCTCCTGATTTTTTTTTTTTTTTGCTTCATTTGTATGGACTATATTATTCCATCCTTTTTTTCTTTTTTTTTTTTTTAAGATTTATTCATTTATTTGAAAAGCAGAGATGGAGAGTGAGGAAGAGACAGAGAGATCTTTATCAGCTGGTTCATTCCCCTGATGGCTGCAATGACTGGAGCTGGGCCAGTCCAAAACTAGGAGCCTTGTACAGGTCTCCCACATGCTTGCAGGGGCTCAAGCACTTGGGCCCTTTTCCACTGCCCTCCCAGGTGCACTAGCAGGGAGCTGGATCAGAAGCAGAGCAGCCAGAAATCAAACCAGTGCCCACATGGGACACCAGTGCCACAGGCAGTGGCTCTACCCGCTATGCAACAGTGCCAGCCCTATTCTGTCCTGTCAGTTTCAGTCTATGTGTATCTTCAGAGTTACTGAATATCCTCAGTCACTGATAAGCGTGATATACTTGGATCTTTTTAATTCCATGTCTTTTTATTTGGAGTATTTAACCATTGGCAAATGCAGTCTTATTACTGCCATTTGATACTTATTTAATTTATTAAAGTTCCTTTCTTTATTTCAACTTCTGTTACAATCATCCTTTGTAGTTAAATTATTGTCTGCATTAGTGTACTTTGATTCTTTGCTTATCTGTTTTAGGCAAATGTATTACAGACTTTTGCTTTGTCCTTATCATGAGGCTTACAGATTTTTGCTTTTTGATTATCATGAGGCTTACAAAAAAATGTTTGGTTAAAATAAGCAATTTTTAAATGATGGCAACTTGACATTGATTATAAATATATGAAAACAAACCAACAAAAACCCCAAAGAGATAAGAAATAGTAATCAACAACCCTGCACTTACACTCCATTCTTTCCTACATTTTAAATTATTTTTCATTAGTTGAAAGACAGAGGGAATCAGATAGAGAAAGCTCCCATCCACCATTTTACTCCCAAAATGCCTGTAATAGCTGAGGTTCAGCCAGGGGAAAGCCAGGAATGAGATGCGTTCCAGATCTCCCACGTTGGTAGCAAGGCACCTAACCACTGGAGCCATCACTTGCTGCCTCCTGGGTTTACATAAGCAAGAAGCTAGAATAGGCTGCCAGAGCTATGTCTCAAACTTGGATATTCTGATATAGAATGCAGGCTTCCCAACTGGTTTCTTAACCACTAGGCCAAATACCATTTGCACACATTTTGAATTTTTGGTATTGTATTTTACCCATTTCCATATTGCTTATCTCAATATTGTTTTTATTTTTTAGTCTTCATACTAAAGATATGAATAGTTTGTATACCATGTTTACAATATTAGAAGACCCTGAATTTGCCTATATAGTTACTGGATTTTTGCTGCCTAAGCTAAACTCACTGATTGATGTCATGCCCACCGGCCACTGCTGATGCTGGCTAGAGTGATCAACTGTGGCCATGGAACTCTACTTGGTACTGAAGCAGGTCCAGAAACTGTCAGTAAGCACCTGTCTGCAGACACTGACCATTTGCATCCGCTCAGTGTTAGATTTTACCAGCTTGGCAGTGAGTTCCAAAAGTGAGTTTGTTACCGGAGAAATTGGAGGGTTCTTGTCTTCACGCAAGAAAGAATTCAGGCATGAGACAGAGTAGTGGGAGGTAAAATAGCAAGGTTTATTAGGGAAGGGACATCCGTAAGAACAGATGGGCACCTTTCCAGACAGGACCTGAGAGATAGTGCGCAGTCGCTCGGACTGGGGGTTGGGGGTGGGGGGCGAGGTTACATGGTTGAGTAGAGAGATTACACCTGGCCAGACCAGGCAGGCGGCTCAGCATAGAGGCAGAGGGCTGAGCGCACAGTCCGATTGAGGCTGGGGGTTTTTAAGGAAATGGGTCTTGCTGCCCCACCTCTGCTCCTCTTGGAACAAAGGGCTTTTTGGATGTAAACAGAAAAACTTCTGAGTTTTCCCCTGAAGGTATCAGACAGGAGGAAGCCTAGCTGGCGCCATCCTGAGTTTAGAGGAAGGGTGAGCAAGACTCCCTGGAGAATGGGGATCCTGAGCAGGGTGTCTGAAATGCAGATACTGGGCTGCAACTGGGAGATTGTGGAAGATTTGTCAGGTAGAAGGGGCAGGACCTCCACCTGGCAGGTTATCAGGTAGAAGGGGGCAGGGCAGGATGCGAATACCGGGCTGCCCCTGAAACATTGTCAGGATGATTTTGAGATGCAGATACATATGCTGGACATAGATGTCTTCTCTTTAGGCCTTTATGTCACACACACATAAGCTCATAACTGACTTCCTACCTAACAAGTTCCTGTGATTCATTGCTGTTTTCCAAGGTTGGAGAAGGGATGATAGAGAAGGTAAATCTATGTCAGTCTTACCTGGGTCTCATGGTTGTCGGACCCTGTGCAATCTTGGGGATGCATGCCAGTAATATGTAAGGCTAGTGGTGATAGACACCAAACCATCCGTGACCTCCAAGGCACAGGTTGTCTGCCTGATCCTGGGGCAAGTCTAGAGGCTTCTTCCACAGACATTGACCTAGACAATGGGAATGAGTAGGATCTGTCTAGTTTTGGGCTTCAGCAGCACAACAGTGAGTCCCAAGACATATTCATGTGATTGCCTGCTGTCTGTGTAAATTTTATGGATGTTCCCCTTGATCAACCAGCTGGCACTAAGCTGGGTCATCACTGGGTCTTACTGTCACCAGGCCATGTGACATCTCAGAGATTCATGCCAGGCCCACTTGAAGCTGGCGGTGGTACACACTGAAGTGAATTCATCCCACTGGAGGATGAGTCTCCCCCTGTTGCTGGGGGCAAGTCTAGAGCCTCTGTCTATAAGCTAGGGGATAAAGGTCTTTGGGCCTTTTCATCTGTTAGGTCTCATGGCATTGGGCCCAGCACTGGGCAATAGCCTAATCTCCTTTTCTTGCCCTATTCCCCAGTGGCTATAGTCTTGATGTTTAAGTTGGGGCAGAAGCACTCCCCAAGTCATCTGGCTATGGAGGGTCCAAATATTCATGCCTACAAGTGTGGGCCTGAGGACAAGGGCCGTAAGATTGTCTAATTCTGAATTTTTTCACTATGGGCATGAGATTCAAGTGTGTGGGCTGAATTGAATTCCCTCCCTCCTTCATACAGGAGATGCCTCTTTCCATCCTGTCCTACATGGAGTTTGGGGAGGGGTAATGCAGACAGCTGTTTCCCTCCTGATTTCTTCAATGTCACTTTGAATATTATTAGGCTAATACCAAGTACTAAGGCCTTTTGCCTGAGTCCTGTAGCTCTTTTGAAGATGACTTGGTGTGTGGATAGCTGTTTAAATTAGTGTCTCCAGAAAGGGGGTTGCCACATCTTACTCAGCCACCATGTTATTCCACTCTTTATCTTTTAAGCCTCCCCAGGTAATTTAAGTCACATTTTCAATTTAGTATTGCTTATAAAATATAGTAGATTGGTGATGGACTCTTAATTGCTTCTTTGGAGGCTTTCATTTCCTTTATGAAGGCTCCCACATTACATAAAACTTCTATTAAGTTATTCTCCTGTTTATAGTATTTTAATTTTATTTATTGGACATGACTGGGGCCTGAATTGCATTGAGGCATCCCACTCACTCCAAAGCTTCCAGATGAAATTATTTTTTAATGTCATTGGAATTTTTAAGAAATACTCTTTTAAAAATTATTTTTGTTCATTTATTTATTTGAAAGGCAGAGCAGCACATACACACACACAGAGAGAGAGAGAGAGAGAGAGCAAAAGAGAGAGAGATGGTGGTAGTGTATCTTCCATCTGCTCATTCATTCCTTAAATGGCCACAAAAGCCAGTGGTTGGCCAGGCCAAAACCAGGAGCCAGGAACTGCATCCTGGTCTCTATCATGGGTGGCAGGAGCCCAAGTACTTGGGCCATCGTCCATACTTTCCCAGGCACATTAGCAAGAACTGGGTCAGAAAGAGCAGCTGGCACACTAGAACTGGCACTCTGATATAGAATGCCAGCACCTCAAGCAATGACTTAACTCACTGCACTACAATGCCAGCTCCTCCAGATGGGATCTTAAGAGATCTGACAAAATAGAGGAAAAGTTAGGAATTCTTACCAAAGCCACCTCTTTCTGATCTGCAGTGTCTAGTTGAGAGAAAAGGTTTCTCTGTACGTTGTTGAAACCAAACACTTTACACCATCTTTGATGTTATATTCTCAGGCCTTAGTATCTCAATGTCTTTCCCATAGCTTAAAGTTTCTTTGCCCTGTTTTGATGATTGCAGATCAACTTCTTACTAAAGACTAACTCAGTAGATTGAGAGAATGAGTAGGACATTAGGACCAGCCAGGACTCAAGTCTTGTGATATAGATAGGTAGCATCTTGATGTTAGATTTTGTCTTGAGTTTTTGTTTTTCATTTTTGTTTGTTTTAACAGGAACCCCAGGCCAGGGCAAATATTGTGGCAGCTATCTACTTATAACCCCAAACTGCAACCCACTTTTGCTATCATCAAAATCTCTGAAAGAATACAATGGCTGTCCTATCACTGGCTAATCAAAGGAAGACAATGAACACCATGAACCATCCAAAGACTTGCAACAAGTTGAACACATGCCTTGCAACCCCAACTTCAAGCTTAACTGTTTCCTTACCCTGCTCTCCAAGGGGAGTTTGGAAATTAAGTGATAGCTGTCCATAGTCCTTGCCCTGCACTTGGGAAACTAAACATCTACTTTCTTCCATCCCCACAGTGTCAGTGATTGGCTTGCTTTGCATCAGGCAGCAAGACCCAGGTTTGGGGGATCTGTAACATTGTTCTCTAAATTTGTATTGGTGGAAGAAAACATTTATAAGAGCTGATTTTTTGAATTGTGAATCTTTTGTACTTGGTTTTGGTTCTACTTTAGTAAGTTGTTGATCCACAGCTTCCCAGAAGTGGTCCTTGTTTTCCCTTTTCTGTCTTGCATAATTTGTTACAAGGTAAAAAATTATTATAAGGTTCTCTTTTTCACCTTGCTTGAGAGTTTGGCTTGATATGGAAAAAAGTCTGAGATGTCTTTAAATTTAATTAGACCATGGACCAGGGATGGAAAGAAAGAGATGGATGAGGTTAATCAATAATAAATAAAATACAAAACACTATTTTATATCCTTAAGTGAATGTTAAAAGCTTATGTCAACTATTATTGCAATTTCCTAGGGACCACAGTATCCTGCTTGTAGCCCCAACCAATCCAGAGGCAAAAGCTACTGCTTGTGGACTGCCCATTTATCCCAGAGCCCTCCCCACTTTGGGTAATCCTGCCCTTCCTATCTAGAGTAGATTCAGTGTAATTAATTTGTACTGCCTTCCCCAATTTTTCATTGTAAAGTACTCTGGCTTCTTAGATATGGAGGGTTGAAAATTCTAATATAGAATTCTGTATAGGAAGGAAAAAGGAAAATGGATGTGTTTTTAGCTAAAAAACGTAAGGGAAACATGAAGGTTTGTTTTAGAAAACCATTTATTTTGTTTAATTCAGAGGTGATTCAAAGGTTATTTTAAAATAATGATCTATGATGGAAATAAAAGTAAGGCAAGAAATAATCAGTATGTAGGAATGAGGTATAAAGAAATAATAAATATATACTTTTGATAAGGAAAGTTGATGGGAGAGAGAGTAATTCTTCTGTTTGTGAGAGAGAAGTTTGTGTTGTAAAAAAGAGGAGGGGGAAAGTAAGTTTTTGTAGTAAGGCACAATGATTGGTTATTCTAATAGGAAAAAGAAGGCTAAAAATAAAGGTCTAAATGAGTTGTAGAAAATCTGAGCAAGTTGTTGAAGTTTTTGGAAAATGAATCTTATAAATGGAATTTTGTGTGTGGCCAATCTGGCTAAAATTGAAAGAGCAATGTATGTGAGTGGTTTTAAAACTTAAATTTGATATTGCAGGTATACAACTGATAAAAATTTGTATTTGGTCTTTTGCTGTATAAACAATGAAATGCTTTTTGAATATTGGCCTCTTAATAAGAAACTATGAAAGATTTTTATTTATCTTTAGACCAAGGTTATATTTTTATCAAAATAATTTCGGGTGCTTCATCTTGTCATTATCAAGATCTTTGCTTGCCTAAACAAACTATCTGTTAGTAAGATCTAAGACTTCTTCAACTGTGTAACCTCTATTTGTCTAAAAATCTTTTGTCACTTTGGGTTAATGGTTTACTAAGTGTTGTTTACTCAATTACCTGTTTTATTGTTTTTAAAGATTTATTTATTTTGAAACTCAAGAGTTAAGAGAGAAGGGGACAGACAGAGAGAGAGAGAGATTTTCCATCTGCTGGTTCACTGCCTAGCTGGCCGCCACAGCCAGTACTGGGCCAGGCTGAAGCCAGGAGCCACGAGCTTCATTGGAATCTCTCATGTGGGTGGCAGGGGCCCAAACACTTTGGCCATCTTCTGCTGCTTTTCCCAGACCATTAGTGGGGAGTTGGATAGGAAGTGGAGCAGGTGGGACTCAAACTGATACCCATATGGGATGCCAGTGTCGCAGGCTGCAACTTTACTTGCTATGGTGCAGTGCTGTCCTCCACAATGACCTGTTTTAAAATTTTTGAATTTTTCATGAATTTGCCTCAAATTTTAAATCGCATCTTTTTGACCAAGAATTGATTTTGGAATTTTTTAGTTGAGTCCTTAGAGAGCTTCAAAGGATCTATCTCTCATCTTGTAGAGATAGTAAACTAATTAGGCTTGCTCCACATATTGAAATGTGTGGGAAACTTTATCGAATATTAAAGTGATGTTGGGTTTTGTTATCAATGTGATCTAAAAAATATGTAAAGTTTGTAGAAGCTCAGTCCTGGTGTGATGCTGTTAGTAATAATTCTGATTATTATTTTACAATGCAAAAAACAACCCAATTTCCTTATGGTATATCATTATTATAATTAACTCTCTCTAGATTTTTATTTTTTGTTTTTAATTTTTTTAAGATTTATTTATTTATTTAAAAGTCAGAGTTACACAGAGAAGCATCCACTGGTTCACTCCCCATTGGCTGCAACAACCGGAGCTGTGCCAATCCAAAAGCAGGAGCCATGAGCTTCTTCCAGGTCTCCCACACGGGTGCAGGGGCCCAGGGACTTGGGCCATCTTCTACTGCTTTCCCAAGCATAGCAGAGAGCTGGATTGGAAGTGGAGCGGCCAAGACTCAGACAGGCGCCCCTATGGAATGTGGCACTGTAGGAGGCAGCTTTACCAACTATGCCATAGCACTGGCCCCAACAAGTACTCTTAAATGCAAGTTCTTGACATTTCATGTAAGTAGACTAGGTAAGAATTTTCAGGACTCTTAACAGAGAAATGTCTGAATTCACAAAATTATTAACCAAAGATTAATTACATGAAGCAAAATGAACTGATAGAAAATTATAGGATTTTTGTAGCCTCTAAAAAAAGATTTATTTTATTTGAAAGTCAGAGTTACAGAGAGAGAGGGAAAGACAGATAAGAGATCTTCCATCCACTGTTTCATTTCCCAAATGACCAGGGCTGGACCAGTCTGAAATCAGGGGCCAGGAGCCTAGAACTCTGTCCAGGTCTCCCACATAGGTGACAGGGCCCAAGCACTTGGACCATCTTTCATTGCTTTTCCCAGGCCATTAGAAGGGAGCTGGATGGGAAGTAAAGCAGCCAGGACACTAACCAGCATGACTGGGCTGTCTTAGTATTTAAAATTTCTTTATACATATCGCAGGTACAGTCTGATGGCAGCCTTGGTTTGGCTTTCTAACCTTGAGCAGTTTTTTTGTTTTTGTTTAATATTTATTTATTCTTCATAGAGTGACACAGAGAGAAAGAGAAAGAGAAAGAGAAAGAGAAAGAGAAAGAGAAAGAGATCTGCTAGTTTATTCTCCAAATGGCTACAACATATCCAGGGTTCGGCCATTCCAGAATGAAGCCAGGAGCCAGAAATTCCATCTGGATCTCCCACATGGGTGATAGGGAACTACGTACTTGGGCCACCTTCTGCCTTTCCAGGCACATTAGCTGCAGCTAGATTGAAAGCAGAAGATACGGGACTCGAACTAGTGCTCCAGTATGGAATGTAGTCATTGCAGGCATCCTTAACCCACTGCTGCAATACCAGAGTTTTTTGGTTTGTTTTATAATTTGATATTCTACATAGCCAATTATTGTTCTTGCTGCTTTAAATAAATGATCAGGTCAAATTTCATGATGCTAAGCTTATTTTATGATCAAATAAATCTTACTGTGATTGTGGTTGGTAGAAATTGAGATAATTGTAGAGAGAAAAGTTGTCTTCAAAGAAAAATGATAATATACCTGTTATTGGATTGTAGTCTTATGCATTGTTTTTGAGTTTTTATTATCTACTTGCAGCCTAGACTAGATCATTTATTATTATTATAGGTTCCTCCAATCTAATTTTTTTCCACAATTCTGATCTGAAATTACTAAGAACAAAAACTGCTATTTTCTGATGAACTGAAGTTGAGAACCTGATGTAAATTTTAAGGAACAAATCTCACCCAATTTCCCATGGGTAGTTGGTAAGCTTTTGGGCTTAGGCTCTTGATTCAGGTCTATTGTGCAAACTTGATTTTTTTTAATACTCTTAGTTTTGTTTCTTTTTTTTTTTTAAAGGATTTTATTTATTTGAAAGTCAGAAATTAGAGAGAGAGAGATCTTTCATCCACTGGTTCACTCCCAAAATGGCCACAACAGCCAGGAATGGGCCAGGCTGAAACCAGGAGCGAGGAGCTTCTTCCAGGTTTCCCACATGGGTACAGAGACCTAAGCACTTGGGCCATTTTCCCTGCTTTCCCAGGCACATTAGCAAGGAGCTGAATGGGAATAAGAGCAGCCTGGATTCGAGCCTGCGCCCAATATGGAATGCTGACACTGCAGACGTCAGCTTAACTCGCTGTGCCACAGCACCAGACTGCTATACTCTTAGCTTTGTTTTGTGTTATTTCCTTTAGCTTTTGTACCCCTGCATGACCAACCTCTGTACCAATGGAGCCCTTAAAAGAATGTCCTGGCCTAGCATTTCAGGAAGAATGCTTTGAATACCTGTGGAACTAACAAAATTGATCTTAACTACTGTAAACTCCAGGCAGACTTAGCTTGAGAGCCAATCCTTCCAGACCTCTTTCTGCACAAATTAAAGAGTTTCAACACTCGTGCTCACTTCGGCAGCACATATACTAAAATTGGAACGATACAGAGAAGATTAGCATGGCCCCTGCGCAAGGATGACACGCAAATTCGTGAAGCGTTCCAAATTTTTGAGGACACGCAGTTTAACTACCATCGCAAGAAGAACATCGCAGCTGAGCGCAAGGAGGGCAAACAGGAGAAAGAGGAGGCTGACTGCTACCAGCGCCTGAAGGATGAGGTGGTGCGAGCTCAGGTGCAGCTGCAGCTCTTCAAACTTTACCATAACGAAGGGGAAATCGAGACGCTCAACAAGGAACTGGCCTCCAAGAACAAAGAGATTGAGAAGGACAAGAAGCGTATGGACAAAGTAGAGGATGAACTGAAGGAGAAGAAGAAGGAGCTGGGCAAAATGATGCGGGAGCAGCAGCAGATCGAGAAGGAGATCAAGGAGAAGGACTCGGAGCTGAACCAGAAGCGCCCTCAGTACATCAAAGCCAAGGAGAACACGTCCCACAAAATCAAGAAGCTCGAGACAGCCAAGAAGTCTCTGCAGAATGATCAGAAGCACTACAAGAAGCGTAAAGGGGACATGGACGAGCTGGAGAAGGAGATGCTGTCCGTGGAGAAGGCCTGGCAGGAGTTTGAAGAGCGCATGGAAGAGGAGAGTCAGAGTCAGGGCAGAGACTTGACGCTAGAGGAGAATCAGGTGAAGAAATACTACCGGTTGAAAGAGGAAGCCAGTAAGAGAGCAGCTACCTTGGCCCAGGAGAAGTTTAATCGAGACCAGAAAGCTGATCAAGACCGTCTAGATCTGGAAGAGCGGAAGAAAGTGGAGACGGAGGCCAAGATTAAGCAGAAGCTGTGGGAGATTGAAGAGAATCAGAAGCGGATTGAGAAACTAGAGGAATATATCACCACCAGCAAACAGTCCCTAGAGGAGCAGAAGCAGCTAGAGGGGGAGCTGACAGAGGAGGTAGAGATGGCCAAGCGGCGTATCGATGAGATCAATAAGGAGCTGAACCAGGTGATGGAGCAGCTAGGGGATGCCCGCATTGACCGCCAGGAGAGCAGCCGCCAGCAACGGAAGGCAGAGATAATGGAAAGCATCAAGCGCCTTTACCCTGGCTCCGTGTACGGCCGCCTCATTGACCTCTGCCAGCCCACACAGAAGAAGTGTTAGATTGCTGTGACCAAGATGTTGGGCAAGAACATGGATGCCATTATTGTTGACTCAGAGAAGACGGGCCGGGACCGTATTCAGTATATCAAGGAGCAGCGTGGGGAGGAGCCTGAGACCTTCTTGCCTCTTGACTACCTGGAGGTGAAACCAACAGATGAGAAGCTCCGGGAGCTGAAGGGGGCCAAGCTCGTGATTGATGTGATTCGCTATGAACCACCCCATATCAAAAAGGCCCTGCAGTATGCGTGCCGTAATGCCCTTGTCTGTGACAACGTGGAAGATGTCTGCCGCATTGCCTTTGGAGGCCACCAGCGCCACAAGACAGTGGCACTGGATGGGACCCTGTTCCAGAAGTCAGGAGTGATCTCTGGTGGGGCCAGTGACCTGAAGGCCAAGGCGCGGCGCTGGGATGAGAAAGCAGTGGATAAGCTGAAAGAGAAGAAGGAGCGGCTGACAGAGGAGCTAAAAGAGCAAATGAAGGCAAAGCGGAAAGAGGCAGAGCTGCGCCAGGTGCAGTCTCAGGCCCATGGCCTGCAGATGCGGCTCAAGTACTCACAGAGTGACCTAGAGCAGACCAAGACACGACATCTGGCCCTCAATCTGCAGGAAAAGTCCAAGCTGGAGAGTGAATTAGCTAACTTTGGGCCTCGCATTAATGACATCAAGAGGATCATCCAGAGCCGAGAGAGAGAGATGAAAGATTTGAAGGAGAAGATGAACCAGGTAGAGGATGAGGTGTTCGAAGAGTTTTGTCGGGAGATTGGTGTGCGCAACATCTGGGAATTTGAGGAAGAGAAGGTGAAGCGGCAGAATGAGATCGCCAAGAAGCGTTTGGAGTTTGAGAACCAGAAGACTCACTTGGGTATCCAGTTGGATTTTGAAAAGAACCAACTGAAGGAGGACCAGGATAAAGTCCACATGTGGGAGCAGACAGTGAAAAAGGATGAAAATGAGATAGAAAAGCTGAAGAAGGAGGAGCAAAGACACATGAAGATCATAGATGAGACCATGGCCCAGCTACAAGACCTGAAGAACCAGCACCTGGCCAAGAAGTCGGAAGTGAATGACAAAAATCACAAGATGGAGGAGATTCGTAAGAAACTTGGGGGCGCCAACAAGGAAATGACCCATTTACAAAAGGAGGTGACAGCCATCGAGACCAAGCTGGAACAGAAGCGCAGCGACCGCCACAACTTGCTCCAGGCCTGCAAGATGCAGGATATCAAGCTGCCGCTGTCGAAGGGCACCATGGATGATATTAGTCAGGAAGAGGGTAGCTCCCAGGGGGAGGATTCAGTGAGTGCTTCACAAAGAACGTCCAGCATCTACGCACGAGAGGCCCTCATTGAGATCGACTACGGTGACCTGTGTGAGGATTTGAAGGATGCCCAGGCTGAGGAGGACATCAAACAGGAGATGAGCACACTGCAGCAGAAGCTGAATGAGCAGCAGAGTGTGCTTCAGCGTATTGCTGCCCCCAACATGAAAGCCATGGAAAAGCTGGAGAGTGTCCGTGACAAGTTCCAGGAGACCTCTGATGAGTTTGAGGCAGTCCGAAAGCGAGCAAAGAAGGCCAAGCAGGCATTCGAACAGATCAAGAAGGAGCGCTTTGACCGCTTCAATGCTTGTTTTGAATCTGTGGCTACCAACATTGATGAGATCTATAAGGCTCTGTCCCACAACAGCAGTGCCCAGGCATTCCTGGGTCCTGAGAACCCAGAGGAGCCCTACTTGGATGGCATCAACTATAACTGCGTGGCTCCTGGCAAACGCTTCCGGCCTATGGACAACTTGTCAGGAGGGGAGAAGACAGTGGCAGCTTTGGCCCTGCTTTTTGCCATCCACAGCTACAAGCCAGCCCCCTTCTTCATCCTGGATGAGATCGATGCTGCCTTGGATAACACCAACATTGGCAAGGTAGCAAATTACATCAAGGAGCAGTCGACTTGGAACTTCCAGGCCATCGTCATCTCTCTCAAGGAAGAGTTCTACACCAAGGCTGAGAGCCTCATTGGAGTCTATCCCGAGCAAGGGGACTGTGTGATCAGCAAAGTCCTGACCTTCGACCTCACCAAGTACCCAGATGCCAACCCCAACCCCAATGAGCAGTAACAGTAGTTTCTGCCCTCTGCCCTGTCTGGATCCCTAAACTGCCCCTCTGCCAGTCTTTGGATATTTGTGGCTCCCAACCTTCCCTTACCTCCTAGCCCTGTTTGGTGTAGTCATGGGATTTAGCACTGCTGTCAAGCCTGAAGAGGAACAGAGATGATGTTAGGTCTGGAGCAAAAAGTCATGAGCCACAGGGAGCATCCTGGTCTCTGGAAGGAGGCGCTGAGCTGAGCTGGGCTGAACAGGACCATCTGTCCGTCTTCCCCTGCCCGGATCCTTCCCCACCATCCATACTCATGGGTCCCTTGGGTATTTTGCCCACTTTATGTGTGGGTGTGTGTGGGTGTGTGTGGATGTTCACCTGTGTGCATGTGTGTGCAGAAAAATAAAAGATACTGGAGACTTTTAGAAGGAGCCTAGGATGAATTTGACTCCAGGAGCGCTTAGGATGACAGCACTCCAGAGCTGGACAAAGGTGCTCCAGGCCTCCTAGGAGTCCTCAGCAGTCACCTGAAGCTGTCCTCACTCACTCACTCGTGTGTTCATTCACTTGTTTATTCGTCAAACACATATGGAGTGCCCTCTGTGCAACTGTGTGCTTGGAATTGAGAGTTGAACCATGCATGCTCTCTGTCCGGGTAAGGAGATACAATGGGTTCGTGAATTACTGGGGTTAGCTGAACGTTGCTATGTGCTTTGAATATGAGAAGAGGACAGTTACGTCCAGGTAATTGGTAATTGTCACATTTAAGCTGGACCTTGACAGACTGGTAGGGTTTTAGTTAGGCACTGAGATCAGTTACGGTTTCTGGTCCCACTTTTCATCAGTTTGACGCTGGGCAAGTCGTTTGGCCTTTCTGTGCCTCACTTGTCTCATCTGTAAAATGAGGCTAAGAATATTACCTACCTCATAGGATTTAACGATGTCAAGCTCCTCACTGGAGGCCTTATCCTTGTGTGGAGCCCACTAGGTGCCGACCTCTCAGAATACAAGCCTTCTCATGCCTGGACTTCCGAGGGTTTCTCATCCTGGCCGTTAGGGACAATCTGAGATGCTGTAAATGCCCTGGTAACTGGGAGAGTTCCAGGGCACTGATGAGGTTTACCTGGTAAGTGGAGGGCCGGGGTAAACCTATAGCTTCAGCCATGGATGATAACCGGGTGCCTGGGCTCCAGCCTGGGTTGTGAGGAAGCAGGGAAGAGGTAGCCTGGGCCACATCCCAGCCTAACGCACGTGAGACTCCTCTTGGGGACTCCCCTCCTGAGCTAGAAGGACCATGCAGTGGCAGTAACGCCTGGCACGAGGGCTTCAGCCTTTATCACTTGTACACATCAGACTTTGGTCTCGTCTGTATATTTGTTGTTTAAGTTGAATCGGTTCCAGTTACCTAAGTAATGCAGGAATCCATTCTCCTTTTAAGCAATTAGGTTGTACAGACAAGGGACAAGACAAGTTTCATTCAGCTACCGACTACTCCCCCCTCCCGCTCCTCCCCACCCTGTCCCTTTCCTGCTGTTATACTTCATTTAGACTTTGTTTTAACATTCTTACATAGATAAGTTCGTTGGAAATACTGTGTTTAATGCATATGGCATATTGAATTGTTCTGCAGTTTGCTTGCTTTGCCTAACAATGTGTTTGAGATCTATGCATGTTGCTAAGTGTAGATCATTCTCTTCTCTGTAATTGCTGTATGGATCACCATATGACCCTACTGCATTTTACTATCCATTTCTCTAGGGTTGACATTAAGACTGTTTTTAGTTTTTCCTATTACAAAATAATACACAGGAATATCCATATACCTGTGTGAAAGTGTGTGTGAGTATGTGTGTGTGAGAGAGAGAGAAAGAGAGAAGGGGTGAGGGGAATTATTCCTCGTAATGGAATTGTGAAGTCAGGAATGTATATGTTTGTTTTTCAGAGATAACTTCCAAATTGCCCTCCTGTAATATTTACTCAGTATTTTTTTCTTGAGGTGTTCTGAGGTCTCCCGTTGTCATCTACATCCGCTTCACCCTAAGTAGTAATAGCTGTGAAGTCACAGGTTTGATGTGCTATGTATGTATTTTTCTAATACATATTAAAAGGCATAACTATCAGAAAAAAAAAAAGAGTTTCAACACTGACTTCTAGTCATCAATGACAGGTCCATCCATACCCCAGCACAGGGGCACAATCAAAGCCTTATCACAGGTTTATTGAATAGCACTGCTTTTGGATAAATATATTAAACAGAAGAGAGAAATAAAAACATGAAAGTTGTCAGCACCAAAACATCAGACTGTAGTAAAATGCAGTCAGGAAGCATAAAGGTGGGATCTCATCATATATGCCTGTGATAAAAACTATTATAAAGACTTTCCAAAAATGACAACCTTGCATAAAGGCTATTGCGGCCTTACACACACTAAAAAAATGCTTTTACAAGGACTCACTCCTACCTAGTCAAGGATCATAGTTTCACAGTAACTTTTACTCCTTTCACCTTTGTAAATTTTACCTACTGTTAACTTCCCCAGATAGGCCTGTGATCCAATATAACCCACATACTCCAGACTTGCAGATTCCCAAATAAATGCAGTATCTTAGGAAAATCCCTTTTTATTTTAGGTCAGCAGAATCTAAAAATCTAAATTTTAGCAAGCTAAAGGAAAAACTAGTTAGTCTTCATTCCTTTGGCTGTCCAAATTATAGACTCCGCTTTTTTAGATGAGAAGGAAGGTAATGCCTTAGGGGCTTTAACCTTAACCTATACCATCCTCCAGGATATTATAGTAAAACATTGGATTCTACCACCTTTTCACTCCCTGTTTGCCCCAGAGTAGTCCTTGCTGCATCCCTATTAGTCAAGGTGACTAAGGAGGTAGTCATGGTACCCTCCCAGTTGTGTTTCTGTCTCTTGCTTTAGAAGCTCTCATTGTTTTTAATTTTGAAAAAAATATTATTTTTTAGCTATATAAGAGAGAGAGAGATGAGAATGAGAATGAGAAATCCTCCATATACTAGTTTATTCCTCAAAGGCAAGCAATAACTGGAGCTGGGCCAGGCTGAAACCAGGAGCAGAAGCCTGGGACTCAGTCTGGGTCCCCAGTCAATTGGGTTATTATCTATTGGCAGAAAACTGAAATTAGCAGAGCTGGGACTTAAAACCCTGACGCCCTGATAGGGATGCAGGACTTCCAAATGGCATATTTACCACTGCACCAAGTGTCTTCACTCTTTAGAAACTCTCTTAAAGTCACACAACATTCAGCTCCTTTTTGCCAATCAGCCCACTTCCTGTGAGCTGCTCCTATAAGGCACTCCTCATATCATTCTTTGATGCTGTAATAAACCCTAACCTTGCAGTTCTCCCCACCCCCCCTTTTTTCAGATGAGACTCCACTTGAATGCTTCACTGTGACATCTCACCCTTTTCCCCCTGCAGAGGATCTTCAGGAGACTTCCCTGAACAGTGCTGAGTTCTACTGGTTCAAAGATGGCTCATGTTTTGAAAATAACACTGGTCAATTTTGTGCAGGTTAGGTTACCATTTCCTTACGTGTTTTAAAAGCAATCCCTTTGCATTTGGCCTGTAAGTCCAGCAGGTGGAGCTGTTTATCTTCACTCAAGCCTGTCCCTTTGCTAAAGGAAAAACTGTTAAGTGATGCTCTGAGTTTACAATGTTATGGAAGGAGAGAGGTTTCCTCATGTCCAGAGGAAGTAAAAGTTCCACTAGATGCAACACGGTTACCAGCTGCTGTGATCATTCTGAAAGTTCCAGACCATGCAGAACTAGACTTTGGGTACTAAAGGAAACCACCTTGCAGGTAGTGCCAAAAACAGTGATTCATATGAACATCCTACTCAGGAGGCCGGTGTTGTGCTGCACTCGAGTAAGCTGTGGTGCTGACATCCCAAATGAGCACTGATTTGAGTCATGACTGCTTGGCTTCTGATCTAGCTCCCCTGCCATCCATGTGGGAAACTTGGATGGAGATCCAGGCTCCTGGCTTCAGCCTGGCTCAGCCCCAAATATTGCAGGCATTTGGGGAGTGAACCAGCAGATGGAAGATCTGTCTCTTCTTCTCTATTTCTCAGTAACTCTGCTTTTCAAATAAAGGTTTTTTTAAGAAATCCTATTCAAGGGGCTGGCGCTGTGGCACAGTGGCGCAGCAGGTTAAAGCCCCAGCCTGCAGCGCTGGCATGCCATATGGGCACCGGCTGGTGTCCTGGCTGCTCCACTTGTGATCCAGCTCTCTGCTATGGCCCGAGAAAGCAGTGGAAGATTGGGCCCCTGCACCTGTGTGGTAGACCTGGAGGAGGCTCCTGGCTCTTGGCTTCCGATTGGCACAACTCTGGCCAAGTGGGGAGTGAACCAGTGGATGGAAGACCTCTCTCTCTGTCTCTCCTTCTCTGTGTAACTTTGATTTTCAAATAAATAAATCTTCAAAAAAAAAAAAAAAAAAAAAAGGCTGGCGCTGTGGCTCACTAGGCTCACTAGGTTAATCCTCCGCCTGCAGCGCCAGCATCCTGGGTTCTAGTCCCGGTTGGGGTACCGGATACTAGTCCCAGTTGCTCCTCTTCCAGTCCAGCTCTCTGCTGTGGTCCGGGAGGGCAGCAGAGGATGGCCCAAGTGTTTAGGTCCCTGCACCCGCATGGGAGACCGGGAGGAAGTACCCAGCTGCTGGCTTCAGATCAGCGCAGCGCCAGCCGTAGCAGCCATTAGGGGAGTGAACCAATGGAAGGAAGACCTTTCTCTCTGTCTCTCTCTCACTGTCTATAACTCTCTCTCTGTCTCACTCTCTCACTGTCTAACTCTGCCTAGACAAAAAAAAAAAAATCTATAGGGATCAGCAACAGATTAATCAAGGAGCATCCTGATACTCATCTAAATACTAATAAATGATGATTCTCCTTAATGGCAAGTTCCTTGGAACATGAGATATGTGGTGTGCCTTTAGGAGCCATTTTTTAAAATTAAAGATGTATCTTTTTGCTTTTCCAGTAGTTCCAATAGTTAATGCCTCAACAAATCCCTGTCTTGAGCTTGTTGATATACATTGTGCTATTTGCAAACTATTTGCTAGTAACACAGTGAGAGGGTTATTAGAGTCAGCAATCACCTAAGACCTGGGTTTTCATTTTGGAGTTTGATTCCTTTGTGCCTCATATCTTTTTTTAGGTTGGAGATTAGGCCTTTTATTGACAGTTACTTCTTTAATTTCTTAAGTTGGGTGGTTGTGGGGAAGTCACAGATAGAGTTCTGTCTTCTGTTCTGTAAAGGGTGGGAGTTTGCTGGATGGACTTCCTATCATTGTCTATGATCTGATCAGAGTAGAAGGTATCATGACTTGCTTCAGTTTCTTATTGTTTTGTTTTTCCCCAAAATGAATGAGACATGAGCTTGTGTACGAGGTTTATCTGGAATGTGACTTCAGAATCAAGAGTGAGGCAGGAAGGGAGGCAAATCCAGTAAAGGGTGTGCTGCTGAGCTGGTGACCACTGTTAGCAGAGTGAGTTCTGTCCCATTGGGAACTTCACACATCAAATGCTGTCTATCAGGATGCTGAAGAAGGAAGCTGGATTGGAAGTGGAGTAGCTGAGACTCAAACCGGTGCTCTTCTTTGCAATGTGGATGTCCCAAGCAGTGGCTTACTTTGCTGCACCACAATTCAACCCCAAGATAGCACTTTTTCAAAACCATATTACAGTTGACCTAATTTCTTGACATTAGTTTTGGAATTGACTATCTGGGATATTTGAATGACCTATATAGTAGGAGATAGACTTTCAGATAATAGGGCATAAGAGGCCCTGAATGATGTAGAAAATGTTTTATTAGAGTAAAAAAAGAACAAAAGTAGAAGTGCTTGTATGCCAACTTTCCTATTTTTACAGCATAATTATATCAGAAAACAAGCCTGAAAATTCTAGTCTAACAATATCATAATGGATGATTGATGGGCTGGCATTGTGGTGTATCAAATAAAGCTGCTGCCTGCAGTACCAGCATCCCATATGGGTTCTGCTTCATGTCCCAGCTGTTCCACTTCTGATGTAACTCCCTGCTAGTGGCCTGTGAAAAGCAGTAGAAGATGGTCCAGGTGTTTGGGTCCCTGCTACCCACATGGGAGACCCAGATGAAGCTCCTGGCCTGGTCCAGTACTGGCCAATGCAACCATCTGGGGAATAAATCAGCAGATGGAAGATCTCTCTGTGACTCCCTCTCTGTGTAACTCTGACTTTCAAAATCAATCAAAAAACTATGATTGTTGTATATCCCCTGTTAAAGTGGTAACTCTAAGATGATAAATATATCTAAAGCTTAGTAGTATTTGTATATAACCAGTTGTCTTATTCTGCTATGGGTAGCTTAACAGAAATTTATTTCTCACAGTTCTGGAGGCTGGGAATACCAGCAGCAAGATGCTAGCTCCTTGGATTCCTAATGAGGGTTCTCTTCCTGTCTTGCAGGTAGCCACCTCCAAATGAGGGATCCCTAGGTGTGTTTGTCAGTTGAACCGCATTATTAGTTATACCCATGAGCTTTGTAAATACATACATTTTAACAGATGTTAAAGTTAATTTAGGGCTTATGCTGTAGAGGCACAAAAGCTTATCAGCATCTTTTTCATCTTTTTATTTTATAATATTTAAAGTAAATTTTAGATTTCCAATTGACTCAAATTAAGGGCATTTCAAAAAATACATTCATATACACATATATATAATTTATTCATTTTCCCACTTTCTTACCCCATGTTTAGTTTTCTTTGTGACAAGTTTTCTGTTTTTTTATCTTTTTTTCTCTCTGTTTTTAGCTACCTGAATCTACAATTTCTATATCTGATAACTCATAACATGGACTTCCTAGGTATCTACAGGAAAAGCAGGCAAAAATGGGGGTGTTTTAATTTGCTACTGTTACCATATGCAATACCACAGATAGGAGTGGTTTAAATCACAGAAATTTGGGGCCAGCATTGTGGTGGAACAGGTAAAGCTGCAGTCTGCAATGCCAGCAGCGCTTATCAGTACAGGTACACAGTCCAGCTGCTCCACTTCTGATCCAGCTCCCTGCTAATAGCTTGGGAAAGGCAGTGGGAGCTGGCCCAAGTGCTTGGGCCCCTGCCACTTTGGTGGGAGACCAAGATGAAGCTCCTGGCTTTGGCCTGGCCCAATGCTGGCCATTGCAGCCCTTTGGGGAGTGAACCAGCAAATGGAAGGTCTCTCTTTGATTCTCCTTCTCTGTAACTCTGACTTTCAAAATGAATAAATGAATAAATCTTTTTAAAAAATCATGGAAATTTATTTCTCATAGTTTTGTACTTAGAAGTCCAAGATCAAGGTGTTAGTAAGTTTGGTTTCTCCCGTGGCCTCTGTCCCTCATTCCATTAAAGTTGGTGAAAAATATTTAAAAAACAAAGAGCCGGCGGGCGCCGTGGCTCGCTAGGCTAATCCTCCACCTGCAGCGCCAGCACCCCGAGTTCTAGTCCCGGTTGGGGTGCTGGTTCTGTCCTGGTTGCTCCTCTTCCAGTCCAGCTCTCTGCTGTGGCCCGAAGGCAGTGGAGGATGGCCCAAGTGCTTGGTTCTTGCACCCGCATGGGAGACCGGGAGGAAGTATCTGGCTCCTGGCTTCAGATCAGCACAGCGCGCCGGCCATAGCGGCCATTTGGGGGGTGAACCAACGGAAGGAAGACCTTTCTCTCTATGTCTCTCTCTCTCTCTCTCACTGTCTAACTCTACCTGTCAAAAAAAAGTTTTAAATAAAATTAAAAAAAAAAGTAATAAAAAAGGCCAACATTTTAAAGTTCCTGAAATGGTCCCAAGTATATACAGTGAATAAAGAAATATTTACTAAAGAAAATCTAAGATTCAGTAAGAACATGAAGATGCAGTCATATTTGAATATAGACTTGCTCCTTCTCTTCCCTTTCATAACTCATTGGAATGAAAATTCCAGACTAGTGCAGCTAAGAACAGAGGGCTCAGTCTGCTGCCAACTGCCAATTGGTAGTCTAAATTACTTGGTGTGGCAACACATCATTTCTCTCGCCCCCAGGTACCTGTTGTTAGGACTGTTCTGGATATCTGCAACTTAGAGGTAGGGCACAGACTCCTCCTGGGCATAGTGCTGCTGAGAACACTTGGACCCCATCATCCATTGTAATGTCCACAAATTTTGTACTGTTTTATACAGTAATATTCCAAATTCAAATCCACATAAAATGTGAATTCCTTCTGTATGATCATTTTATGTTTGTGTGGGTATATGTATATAAATACATGAGTAACGTCTGCAGTATATAAACTGATATTTAGAAGAAGAATGACCTAAAGCTGCCATCCTTGTCAGGTTTTCAATTAGTTCCACTCTTTGCTCATGACCTCCTTTATCTTTACTATATACTGTTTGCTCTTCATTCAGTACAAATTTAGTATTAGAATTCCTATGACTAGGTGCTTGAAATTATGAATTCTATTCATTAAATAGAAGTTATAGTTAAGACCCAGAGAGAGGTGAGTTGACTGTTAGTCCATGACAACTGAGTATGGTCTTCTAGTTTTCTCTCGTAGGCCTCCTCATGGAGTCCACATTTCCAGTTCAAAATAAGCAGATCCTGTTGATTAAAAGCACATGACTGCCAGTGCAGGAGCAATGGCTCTTGGGAGAGGCCATGAAAATCCACAATTCCATGGTGTCATTCGGGTTCTTTGGTCCCTATAAGTTCATTTTCTATTTTGAAACATGTGACCCTGAGACCTGATTATTTAGGTCACAGTTACTTCTCTGGTCTGAGATGTAGGAACTTAGGCTGTGACACTCAAGACTGAGATCTCTTGATTTTTAGACTAAAGTAATGAAGGGCAGTTGCAGGATCAGAGATAATATAGGGGTTGAACAACACAAATCCTACCTTAGGCACACAGAAAATGAGGGATAGTCATGAGCAGAGTCAGTACTCTCAGCACATCCCCACTCAAACTCACATCCATCCTGGTCACAGGAACCATGCCCATCCTCATTTGGAAAGGAGCAGCAATAGTAGTAGGCTCTCCATGAAACCTTTGTATTCACCTCTTTGCTTAGTTTGAGGCAAAGGATATAATCAAAGGAAGGATGGAGTTTGAATTCAGCTCTTAAAAATAAGTAGATTTTTATTAGATATATGGACAGATGGTCAGATTGATTTCAGGAATTCCTAGATAAGTAATTAGAGGAATTTTAGGTTTTCAAAATGATTTTGGATTGTGCTCACCTTATTACCCCAATATATTATTCCAATAAATACATGAGAATATTTCTTCCAACTGTAAAATATGATCCATTGATGGCTCACATTGTATTTTTTTATTTATTTATTTTTTTGACAGGCAGAGTGGACAGTGAGAGAGACAGAGAGAAAGGTCTTCCTTTTTTTTTTTTTTTTTGCCGTTGGTTCAGCCTCCAACGGCCACCACGCTGCGGCCGGCACATTGCGCTGATCTGAAGCCAGGAGCCAGGTGCTTCTCTGGGTCTCCCATGCGGGTGTGGGGCCCAAGGACTTGGGCCATCCTCCACTGCACTCCCAGGCCATAGCAGAGGGCTGGCCTGGAAGAGGGGCAACTGGGACAGAATCCGGCGCCCTGACTGGGACCAGAACCCAGTGTGCCAGCGACGCAAGGTGGAGGATTAGCCTATTGAGCCGCGGTGCCGGCTTCACAATGTATTTTAATAGATGAGATCAAGCATATGTTTAAAGGATTAGAAATGAATATTTAAATATTAATATTTAAGTATTTTAATGTAAAAGGAATGTTTTAAGTATTTTAATGTAAAAAGATCCTTGTTAATAAGTAGAGTGGGTTCTCTAGCCATAATATAATTATCAGAACTAAAAATAAAGGTTGTGACAGTTACCAAATGCCCTTCCCACATTTGAGTTCCTCCGTTTGTAGCTCATTGCTTTCAAATGAGAATTTGTCAGACCAAGAAGTAATAATCAGAATTTCACGTGGTTGGCATATGGATAGAAACTAATTCTGAAGTATTATATTTGTTCACCAGAAAGCAGGGCTGACTAAGGAAGTACATAAATCATCCCCCTTATTTCCTGATGGAGGATTGCAGTGTCTTATGGGAAATGTAGTCTCAAGCTCCTATGACATCAGCAGAGTCCTTCTGAGTGCTATTCCACCCATGCTCTCCATCTTCCCAGAAATTCCAGCCCCTGTGCATTTCCTGATGCTGCTTCATTACTTGGTTTGGATTCTGTCTCCTGGAAGGTTGGTGTAAGCATGAAATTAGAGCCCTGGGCCTCAGGGAATCCTTGGGAGTAGGACAATGCCCCTGTTTGGTGAGAACAGAAACATCCATAGAACTCAGTCAGATAGTGAGACCTGACATGCAGGTGTATCCTGCGAATCAGGACTGATTTAGGTGGGGAGACGTGGGACTAGAAAAGGGGTGACTCAGGTATGGTTTCGAGGACCGCTTTGTCAGCAGATGGTGCATTGTCAGAAGACCTCTGTGTGCTTTCAGGTGTGTAAAAGCTGGTCCCAGTAGTTCTGTGAATAGGATGGCTGTGGCAGAATGAGGACAGATATGCAGACCTCATGAGCTGGGAGGCCTGTAATCTGAATCTGCAAGTGTTTATCCATCTGTAAGATGAGCATATTAACAATGCCAGTGAATTTCCTCAAATTGCCAGAGAAGTATTTGTGAAAGGTGTGCAGGTTGAATCATGATTTCATTATGTCTCTTTAGTAAGTGCGGTTTATTTCCCGCCCCCACCTCCTCACTGTGTTGTCCACCTAGCACTCCTGTTTTGAGTTTATAGTTGATATAAAACCATTTCCAGGAATTGGGAGTTCAACATAGGAGACTGGAATACTGGATAATAATCCCAATTCTTCTGAAATAAAGTTGTTTTTATGAAAAGGATTCATGAATAAGAATTCCACCTGGGAGACTCTCTCTCTGGCTTGCACCCTCTACCTAGTGCTTCAGAGTAAAGAGTCCCTGAAAAGTTAAAATCCTAGCTTTGCTTGACTCAAGCAATTATTGATTCTGTTGCCCAGAGTGAACAAAATGTGTTTTCATACTACCTTATCTCACCCATAAACTGTCAAATATTGCCTGATATTGGAAGGTTTGGGCCAAACAGAAGGGAGATGTGAATGGGCTGAGACGAATAGGCAGTGGTCTAGGAAATAATGCATATTAGAGAGGTTGGGTGTCGCATGCAGTGGAGGGATCCTAACACCCTCTGATTATTTATTTTACTCTCATTATTTCCAAAACTGGAACTTTCTCAAATCTAGTCTGTCACACCATTTGGTATCTACAGATATGCTGATGTTCTCTCTATCCTGGTAGTTTTTCCTGGTAGCACAGGAAGAATTTGTTAGGGTCTCTTACTCATAATACAGATGAAACAAATTGTGTTTGAGGAATTAAGTGAGTTGACCAGAGTCACATGATCAATTTTAGGACCTGAAATCAATTAGAGCAAACACTGCTTTAGAAGACTTTGCCTTGAGCATGCCTTTCATTTTCCCTGCATCACCTTCTATCAATTGTGTGAGCTCAAAATGCCTATAATACAAATTTTCACACTTAATGTGCGTAACCTGTTCTTGAAAATCATACATATAACATGCAGTATATATGCAAATAAGTCAGCCTATTTTCCATTTTTTTAAAAATTAGGGAAATTAGACTGAGTCACATTTTTACTATCAAAGTATAAATGCTAATATCCATATGATAAGTGAAATTTTAAAATAGTCATGATAGCCAGATAATTTATTCATGTGATTCACATGACCTCTCTAAGTGCAAGCAATTTGCCAAGATTCAACTAGTTGTATTTGTAATTCTGAGTAAGCATTTTGTGGGTGAGCAAGCTCAGGTAGGCAGTTCCTATGCTGGTGTTGCTTGGGACCACAAATGAGGGTTTCGTCCACCTGGTGTCTTAACTGAGGCTGGTTCCTTCAGGATCACTTCCCTCAAGTCTGGTGGTTTGTGCTTACTTGGCTAGGTCCTGTATCTCCGATAGGCAAACCCTAAGCTTTTGCATAAGATGACAGTATTCTAAGAAGGCAAACTCCAGTAGGTAAGTAACTTCAAAGTTGTTTGTAACACGCCAATGTCCTATTGACTAAAGCAACTGAAATGGCAAAAACAAGGGTTATTGTGGGGAGGGACAATGTGTGAAGGGACAGATACAGTGAGGTGTGTAACTGTGAACCATTACTGGAAATGCAGTATGTAGTATGCAATAACTATAGTTTTTCTATACAATTTTGGGCAAAATTGTTAGGTTGTAACATTCACACTTTGTATGAAATTTAAAGTATATAAAAACATCTTTATTAATAGGCAAAGTATTAATTCCATCCAAATATTTCTCTACAGTGTAAAGTTTAGTGACAACATTTTTATTTTGGTTTGCAGAAATTTATTGGTTTTGGAAGATGTTTGATCTTCTGTCCAGTGAGCATCCAACCAGCTGCCTTTCAAAGGGTAAGTTGCATGGTTGCTACTGTCATGAAAGCTCTTGTTTCCATGGTTTTAAGAGGATACCAAGCCGGCGCCGCGGCTCAATAGGCTAATCCTCCACCTTGTGGCGCTGGCACACCCGGGTTCTAGTCCCGGTCGGGGCGCCAGATTCTGTCCCGGTTGCCCCTCTTCCAGGCCAGCTCTCTGCTGTGGACAGGGAGTGCAGTGGAGGATGGCCCAAGTGCTTGGGCCCTGCCCCCCATGGGAGACCAGGAGAAGCACCTGGCTTTTGCCTTTGGATCGGCGCGGTGCGCTGGCCACGGCGGCCATTGGAGGGTGAACCAACAGAAAAAGGAAGACCTTTCTCTCTGTCTCTCTCACTGTCCACTCTGCCTGTCAAAAAAAAAAAAAAGAGGATATCAGATTTCAGGATCTGTGCTTCTCCAAATCTGAACTCATAATCCTTTGCTCAAAACCTTTTCCCTCATGTTAAACCATGGTATTTTTATCTTTGGTATACTGTAATTTATTTGAACAATCATACTTAAAATTATAAATGCCATATTGTAGTAATAATACTTTTATACAAAATCAGTAGCAAATAAATCTTCATTCAGCTAATGGTAACTTGTGTTCAATCTTTATCGGTTAACAGACTGTGGGTGTTCTTTCAAGGAGGTCTTTCCTGCTCTTTCTTATGGGTAAAGGACTGTTTCCCCACAAGAAGGCTGATTGTTTTTGTTTTTGCAGCTAATGTGTGTATTTTCTATTTGCTTCTAGGATGATCTTCCTCTGCACAGTAGAATCTGGGAGCAAGCCAGGTCATTTCTCATGATTCCCTCCATTTATCTTCTCTCCCAAATGTAATTCTAGAATCTTCTTCATCTTTCCAGAGGCGAAGAAAATGAATACATCTCCAGTAAGTTATTTACTTATTTAATTCTCAACGTCTTTTACTTTATATTTTTAATTAATTTATTTATTTAAAAGACAGTTATAGAAAGAGAGGAGAGACATCTTCCGTTCACTGATTCACTCCCCAAATGACCACAGCATCTGAGGCTAGACTAAGCCAAATGCACGAGCCAGGAATTCTATCCAAGTCTCTCACATATATGGCAGGAATCCAAGTACTTGGGCTATTTTCTATTGCCTTCTCAAGTACATTAGCAGGGAACTGGATCAGAAACACCAACTGGCACTCCAGTATGGAATGCTGGCATCACAGGTGGCAGTGTAACACACTCTACCACGACACCTGCCCCTTACATTGTATTTTATGAGCTTTATGAGGGTTCATTAACTAAAATCAAAAAACAAAAATAAGTAAAAGTTAATATCAGAGAAACATAGGTAAATAAGATAACATTGATATTAGAGCCATCTAAGTTGAATGCAAATTGGTCTCTGGTCTTTCTGATACTATAGCAAAAAGATATATTTGTTACATGATTCAAATTGAAACTTAGAAGAGGATGTGCTAAATTATTGTGGGACTTGAAGTTTAGTTTATTGATTACATAGATAACATAGTAGACAGTGTTTTAGTACAAATATGGAAGTAAATTTTACCCAGCATTCTGAACTGGTAATGGTTACCTTGTGCTAAAACACAAATTAGTTTATAAGGTTTTACTGGAGTTGTTAAATAGTGTCCTCAGTAGCTCTTGGAAGGTTGTACTTAATTCATAGATAGAACCAGGAATGTGTAGATACGGTATACTACAGGTCCTTAAATAACTCTTTATACATTTCTTTAAGCTAGTCAATATATACAGGTTGTAAAATGGACTAGTCATAGTTAATTTTCAGGCAACCCTTTCCTCTGGTCATTTTTACTTTTAAGCCACTCAGTGTAATCCTAGTTTTATTATTCAAAAGTTTATGAGTAACTTAAATTCTAGCTAATCCAAAGACTACCTTCTATTCTTTGCCTTGAGTGTTCTGCCATGTTTCAATCCATGATCTTCTCCTATAAATTCTTGTTTGCTGTGCTCATCTCTATTATAATCTCATTTATATGGTTTTATTTCTTTTTCATGAATTCTTATACTTCCTTCTCCATAATGTAGCTCACCAAGTGTTCCATCTGCTCTGCATTCATTCCTCTCTGCAGTTCTTGACAGATTTGGCCCTCTGGCCCAACATTCCTAAGTCTCTGCAGCTTGGACCTCTTTCCCAAGCTTTAGGCCGTTGGTTCCACTCCATGTTGAACGTCTCTGTAGGTGTCCAAACCACCCCAGGCTCAACAAATCTGCAATGAAAAACCTCAACCTTCTTTTCTTTCCTTTGCTTATATTTGGTATTATTACCTATTAGCCTTGATCCAGATGACCAAATGTAATTTTTCCTGAAGTCCTGCTTCTCCAGTCTAATCTCATCTGGAGCCACATCCTGCTACTTTTGTTCATTTTTTAAAAATATTTTATTTTTTTATAATTTTTGTATTAGTATGCTATTTTTTAATTTATTTATTTGAAAGACAGAATTACAGAGAAAGGTAGAGACAGAGAGAGAGGTCTTCCATCTGCTGATTTACTTCTCAAATGGCCACAATGGCCGGAGCTATGCCAATCTGAAGCCAGGAGCCAGGAGCTTCTTCTGGATCTCCCAAGTGGGTGCAGGGGCCCAAGGACTTGGGCCATCTTCTATTGCTTTCCCAGGCCATAGCAGAAAGCTGGATCAGAAGAGGAGCAGCCAGGACTAGAACCGGCGCCCACATGGGATGCCGGCGCTTCAGGCCAGCATTTTAACCTGCTGCGCCACAGTGCTGACCCCAGTTCCTTTATTTTTAAATTTTTATTTTCAGCTACATTTAATGTGTCTAAGGAGGAAAAGCTGTTGGCACTTCAAAATACAGTAACTTTCTTTTTTATATTGGAAATGTCACTGTTGGCAAAACCCTGTACATAGGTTCAGTGATGAGTTTTGATCCTTTCTGAGCTGTGCTAGTCTGTCTTCTTTCTGATGAGAAGTCAGCCAACATTCATATATGGCTGTACCCTAGTATACCCTGTGCTCTTTTATTTTCTCATTGCTTTCAAGATACTTTAATTCCATTCACCACAAACTTTTTGAAGTATCCTCATGTATTAGTTTGCTTTCTAATTTGCTGCAATGGTTTCTGAACCTCTGCCACTTTTCTTTCATAAAAATTAGAAAATGCCTATTTTCTGTCAGCTTGTTTTGCTTTGCCAAAATAAGTACCACATACTGGATAATTAATGAAGAAAAGAAGCATATCTCTTATAGTCTGCAGGCTACGCAGTCCAAAGCCAAGCAGCCACATCTGGGGAGTGCCATCTTACTGTGTCATGACATGGCAGAAGGCATTACATGAAAGAGAGAGCAAGAGATGGAACTCATAGCCTCACGTCCTTTTAAAATTGGCATTAATCTGTTCATAAGAACAGAAACTCTTGCCTTATGGATTGTTTCCAACTTATGCTTTTCTGAAGAAATATTAAAACCATAACAATTTCCAAGTTGCATTTTTTTTGGCCTTTTTCCACCTACTGTTAAGCCCATAAATACAATTTCAGTTTAGCTACTTTAGCTCTAGAACTTCCATGGTGTTTTATTTTTGAGTTTATTTTTATACTGATAATCCTCATCTATAACACATTCTTTTTTTAAAAAGGATTCATTTGTTTTAAAGGCAGGGTTACAGAGGAAGGGAGAGATGGAGGGAAAGAAACAAAGAAAGATAAAGAAAGAGATTGAAATCCCATCCTCTGGTTCACTCCACAAAAGGCCACAATGACCAGGGCTGCGCAAGGCTAACACCAGGAGCCTAGACCCGCATCCAGTTCTCCCACATGGATGCAGGGTCCCATCTTCTACTGTTCTTTCAGCTGTATTGCAGGGAACTGAATCAGAAGTGGAGCATCTAGAACTTGAACCAATGCTCATATTGGATATGGTGGCTTAACCTGCTACACTGCAACACCAGCCCATAACACATTATTATATCATCTTTTTTAAAAAAGATTTATTTAGTTTTATTCAGGGGACCAGTGCTGTGGCGCACTAGGTTAATCCTGTGGGCACTGGTTCTAGTCCCAGTTGCTCCTCTTCCAGTCCTGCTCTTTGCTGTGGCCTGGGAAAGCGGTGGAGGATGGCCCAGGTGCTTGGGCCCCTGTACCCTCATGGGAGACCAGGAGGAAGCACTTGGCTCCTGGCTTCGGATCAGCACAGCTTGAGCAATTGAGGCCATTTGGGGAGTGAACCAGCAGAAGGAAGACCTTTCTCTCTGTCTCTTTTTCTCACTGTCTGTAACTCTACCTGTCAAATAAATAAATATTTTAAAAAAAAAGATTTATTCATTTATTTGAAAAGCAGAGTTATAGAGAGGCAGAGGCAGAGAAACAGAAGTCTTCCATCCATTGGTTCACTCCCCAAATGGCCAAAACCCAGGAGCCAGGAGCTTATTCTGGGTCTCCCACAAGGGTGCAGGGGCCCAATCTTCTACTGCTTTCCCAGGAACATTACCAGAGAGCTAACCCAGAAGTGGAGCAGCCAGGATTCAAACCAGTACCCATATGGGATGCCGGCACTGCAGACAGCGGCTCTACCCACTATACCACAGCACTGACCCCTATTATATCACTTTTTTCTAAGATTTATTTATTTGAAAAAGAGAGAGGCAGAGGCAGAGAGAAAAGGAGAGTGAGCTTCCATCTGGTGAGTCATTCCCCAAATGGCTGCAACGGCCAGAGCTGGGCCTATCCAAAGCCAGGAGCCGGGAGATTCTTCGAGGTCTCCTGCATGAGTGCAGGGGCCCAAGCACTTGGGCCATTTTCTTCTGCTTTCCCAATGCCATAGTATAGAGCTGGATCGAAATTGCAACAACCAGGACTCAAACCGGTGCCCATATGGGATGCTGGTACTGCATGCTGCATCTCTACCCACTACAGCACTGGCCCCTTATATCATCTTCTGTGTACTTAAAAATATTTGAAGATAGTTTAACCATCTTGTCAGCTGTTTGCAGCATCTGAATTAATCTGGATTTTCTTCTAGCCCATGATTGTGAGTCACATTTTCCTCTTTCTTTACATCTGTAATGATACTGAATTCTGTACTGGATGTTTTAAATCACAGTTGTAGAAATTGTGGATACTGTCGTGTTCCTCAGAAGAACAATTTTTCTGCTACCAGATAGTTAACTGACTGGATTTATTCCTAGCTCTATTCCTTCCAATAATCAGTAGCTGATTATTTCTTTCAGCTTCCACTGCAGTTCTAGTGGCCTGTCTGTAATCTCCCACACATATATAGTTCAGTAGTCAGCCAACAGTGTTTGTCATTTTTGTATATAAATTTAGAAGCTTAAATTCTTTCCCTTTCTTTCTTCCAGGACTTTCCCTTTTACCCATTTTCTGGTTGTATTCTCAGCCCTGAGCTTTAACCTTTTACTTTTACCGAGCCAGTAAAAGCTGCAGCTTTTGGGGCCGGCTCTGTGGTGTAGTAGCCTAAGCCTCCGCTTGTGGCGCCAGCATCCCATGGGCACCAGTTGGTGTGCTGACTGCTCCTCTTCCAATCTAGCTCCTATCTATGGCCTGGGAAAGCAGTCGAAGATGGCACAAGCACTTGGGCCCTTGCACCATCATGGAAGACCCGGAAGAAGCTCCTGGCTCCTGGCTTCAGATTGGCCATTTGGGGAGTGAACCATTGGATGGAAGACCCTTCTCTCTGTCTCTCCTTTTGTCTGTAACTCTGCTTCTCAAATAAATTTTTAAAAAAATGCCAAAGGCCGGCGCCACGGCTCACTAGGCTCATCCTCCGCCTTGTGGCTCTGGCACACCGGGATCTAGTCCTCGTCGGGGTGCCAGATTCTGTCCCGGTTGCCCCTC